ATCTGTACCAGTGTACCTCCTCTGGTCTAGCCAGTCAAGAAGACTCATTTTTAAGGTGAAATCCGCTGGTGTTGGACCATTTAAGGGTAGTTAAGTAGCTCTCTTTACGAACAAGGGATGTTGACAAGTTTGGTGGCCCTTCTCTTCAGAAAGAGAAAATTTCAACCCTGCGTAAACACACACACACACACACACACACACACACACACACACCGGGAGACAAATTGTGGTTCATGACCATGTGCTGTGTGAGCATGTGTTTCCCTGGAGAATATTGTGGGAGTAGGGCCTTACGAACTGCACAGATGCAAGCAGCTGTTACAGAATACAGATGGGCACGAGGGCAGCCCCAAGCACAGGTGGAAGCATGCGTTCTGTTCCGGGAAATCAACTAGAAATCTATACTCAACGGAGCACAAAATCAACCAGGGAGCTTACCTGTGTCCGAAGGTTCAACGCGGCTTCTTCGCCATGGAAACTCAGGTTCATAGAGTGCAGAGCTGGGTAAAATCGCTAGCCCTTCTGATTGAGTGGGTGGGTGATCTTTTAGACTGATCTTGTTTGGGTATGTGCACAAATCATTCACACGTTTCTAAAGAAATTAGGTCTCAAACAATATAGTGCCCTCACCTTTTTCTGAACCCAAAGCACTTGATCATTCCACCTCTCCAACAATTCACCTCCTGTTGTATTAGGTGTTTCTTGTAGTTTCATTTTTATGTTGGCTGAATTCTTTCAACCATGCTAAATTTGTCCTGTTTGACTATGTGGTTTGAATGGGAAGGCTGCGCGTCTCCCTCATCTATTTCTCAATGTTCGTAGTGTGGGAACTGGTAGAAGGTAGATAACTGGGCCCTTACCTGATTGCTAGCACTTGTCTCATGGGTTGGCTCCATCTCAAGTGCTTACCTGTGAGCATGCCCTCATTCACCACACAGCTTCCATCCATCAGAATAGCATCGCATGGCAATGACAATTTCCCTGGGAGAATCAGTGTGTCCCCAGGAACCAAGAAACGGGATTCCAGCTCCTGTAGACCTAGGAGCAGCAGAGTTTCCAGGTTAGCTGAGCTCTTTGCTTATACTGAAAATGAAGGTGACCGAGAAGCCTTGTCCATGTGTTGGTCAGGCTTACCCTATCTCTCATCTGCTTAAGTGCCTTTCCACTCAACTGCACGTTCCAAGAAAACCAGCATTCGGGAACTGGTTCCGGAAAGGATTAGCTCAGCCACAAGCTTCTGCTTGAACCTAGGACAGTGCTGTGTCCACAGTGGCTAAAGGTGCCTATTGGCTGTGACTTACCTTCTTTGAATGGGTTCTTGACCCTCTGCAGTGCCCATGGTCTCCTTGGATTGTGGAAGACCAGCCACATCATTTCAGTGGTCCTCACTCCCTGCAGACTCATCGCCACCCCACCTCAGGCCGACTCAGAGCAAATGCTATGTGTGCAGCCAGCAAACTACAAATCAGGAAGGTCTGGACATGTGTGGTGTAGAGAGAACATGGGCTTATTGGATAAAGAAAAGAAGGACCATCGTTTATTCAATAATAATCAGGCATGTGAAATATGAAGAACAGAGGGAATTTGAAGCAACTTGGACATTGGGTAGGAATGATGCAGTCAGGAATGGGATGAGGGTGAAGCAAGTGAGCTACCTTGAGGACAATGGGACATGGCCCTCATGACCACTCTCAGTGTCCTAAAAGTGCAGGACTAGCATTTATATAGACCTGTCTCCCTAGATTTTGCCCATGAAGTGTCTGGCTTGCCTCACCTTAGACTCTCTCTGTCCTGAGTTCAATCAGGAATGGCTTTTTCTTGGCTAATAATCAAGGGTAAGTGGAACGGATTCCAGTTTCAAATATTAGGGTGTGAGAGGAGGTAGAAGAGGTCACTTACCTTTATCTTTCACTCTGATTGTCACCTGGACTTTGTTGTGATCCTCCACAAGGTTGTGCAGTTTAACGGATTGCTATCAATTTAAAGGTGGTGTTTACATATTAGAATCCTTGTAGGTAAAAACACGGTATCTCAAAAGAGTAAATGCTGAGCCTCCTGTCACCGGCAAACTAGCTCGCGACCAAATGTCTCAACTTCTGTTTTTCATGCTCCTACTTGCTTCCTCAACCCACCCCACCAAACCCCTACTTGCAACTGTGGCCAATATGCTCCGTAACTGAAGCTCTTTCACTCCCAGGAACATAATGCACAGTGACTACCCTCAGGGCCTTCGCAAATGACATGAGGCTTCACTTCTTGTGGATGGACTGAAGACGAGCAGGCTACTTCCTTTCTGCATGCCTCCTTCCCTCCCCACAAACCGCAAAGCAGGGTTGAGCTGTATGTACTGAGTTTCCTACTGTAGGAGCCTGTGAATATGAGGGGGCTTCCAAAAGTTGGTAGAAAACTTCCAATGTCTCTCAGTTCCGTCTTTCCATAAGCTTTTCAAAGCTCGCTCATATGCAGGTTGTATTCTGACAGCGTGTGGAAGAGCCACCCCTTCCTGTGTGAGTTGATGGGTTTTCATATGGAATAATAAGAATGCAGATGTGAAAAATGAGGACGTAATGCCAGGGGGGCGGGGGCTTAAGTGGAGAGGAAATGTTTTGAGAATGATGAGGGCAATGAATGTACAAATGTGCTTTACACAATTGATGTATGTATGGATTGTGATTAAGAGTTGTATGAGCCCCTAATAAAACGATTTAAAAAAAATAAGAATGCAGATGTGAGTCAACCTACTTATTACCCCCTGGATAAGAAGCCAATTTCGCTTCTTTAACTGTCTTTTCTTCATCTGAAGGTAGGGATATTTTGTAGGCTTATTTTAAGCTTCAAATGAGATGCGTGCAGTACAAATCATTTACATTCAATTACTACCTAAAAAATATGCAATTTGGAACTCCCTATCAGTGCTGGGCAAGGAGGCCTGGGGGTCTAGGTCCAAAGGGTCCCCGTCTTGAAAACCTCCTGCAGCACGGTTCTGCTCTGATGCACAGCCCGGCACCAAGAGCAGGAACTGACAGTGAATGATTCGGTGTTTTGCCTTTAGTTTCTTACGCTGTGAGTCAGTGGATTCTTACACGGTTGTCGTCTAGTATTCCAGATGTCACAAAGTTGAATGAGTGTGAGTGATGAGCGAGAGGAAGCATCACCTTTGGAGTCTGTGGCTGGCAACTGGAGAAGCAGTGTGGTGACCACATTTACCAGAGTGATTCACGGGAGGTCGAATATCTTGAGCTATGACTGTGAAAAGCAGAGCAAATGCAAGAAGTCCAAGCAAGTGGAGAAAGCACCTCATATGTAAATACGTCAGAGGAGACAGAAGCAGAGGTGAGAGGAGGTAATTGCTCACACTAACTATGGGGGAACCATCAGTGGAGCGATGCCCGGTAAGGAGGGACCCTGTGGCGTGGCCTTGTAAGCTCCCACCTCTTCTCTGGAGGGATGTCAGTTACCTGAAGGCCTCTATGTAGTAGGAGGGGGTTTCAATACTGTCAGCTACACTTAGCCTCATTCAAATATAAAACATTTATTTCTTAGAAGTTGGAGTAAATTACTTTCATCTGCTCTACTGATGATTTTAATGCTACAAATGTCACCAGGCGAAGACAAGTTTTGCATGCAATTATGCAACTTTCCCCTTGAGAGAACATGATGAATTCAGTGTTAATATTTATATAGGAAAATGTATTATTTACTCTAGTTTTGCATGAAAAGTTAAACTTCAATAATTTGGCTCAATTGAGTGGAAGAAGTGATCTTTCTGTTAGGTACATATCCGTTGCCTTCACTTGGCTTGATGAGTTTGCGGCGAGGCACCCGTTTGAATGACGAATGGGGAGGAAGTCGGTCACGGTTGTAGGGCAAGAGCCCTAGATGCAGTCAGGATTCCTGAGCTGTAGGTCAGTCTTGCTATAATTCTAAGTGTCGCTTTACAAGTCTGTTGTTTCCTAGATTAACAGATGGCATTGAGGTGGATAACGTCCAAGACCCCTTCAGTCTTGACAATGGTATGTTACTGGCTCATTTTGGTTATGAAAGGTTTACACAACCCCTTCAAGGTTTCATAGAAACAATACTACAAGGTATGCAAGTGACTAAGCTTCTCATTGTACAAAATAGCATCTGCTCTATACCAGTCCCTGGGTGGCATAAAGGGTTACACCCTTGACTGCAAGCGCAAGGGTTGACTGAATCCACACAGAAGTGTCTTGACGACATGCATGATGGTCTGCTTCCCACAGGTCAACGCTGAAAACCCTGTGGGATAGTTGCACTCTGAACACGCAGGGGCGTCGGGAGATGGAATCCATTCAATGGCAGCGAGCAACTGGAGGCGTAATAGAAAGGAGAATGGTGGGCATATTCACCTTGTAGCATGGAATGACACCCCAAGATGCCACACATCTGAGGTATCCAGACAAGAGAGGCGAGGGCGGTTCTGCTAAGGCAGTGCAATTTCCACCCATCGTGAAACCGGGAGAAAGGGGCCTGCAAATTAGAGGTTGACCTTTGCTTGAAACCCATATAGAGAAAAAAAACAATCAGAGGCTTACAAGTGTTAAAGCAACTGGTCTACATGGTGTACTTAGTAGGTAGCAAGATCAGCAAGCAAACCCAAGTTCATCTGACACTCAAGCCTTTCTTGTTGTTGACTGTGTTCTCTTCACGTCCTTGGAAAGCGCTCCTCTTTTCCCCTTAAGGAGTCAATACTTCCTTTACAAGACTGCGGTCTTTCCTTGCTTAGCAACCTCTTGGCACTGTACACAGGGAGACACGAGGATGTCACTTGCAAACGGTGAACGATGAGCTAATAATACTTGACTGTCAGTTTCAAACTCCGTATGCCTAGCAGCTGGATTTGTTGATCAGAGGAAGCATTGTGTGTACATGTCCATGCTTCCATTCCTTTGCTTGGGCTATTCCCTACAATGCTCATCCCAGCTTCCTACCAGCCCCCCTTTCTCATCCTTCACGGAAAGCCCTGCTCAAATGTCAGCCGCACTCCCTACAGTCCTAACATCTCTGGGGAGAGTGAGTGCTTCTGCTTTCAGTGTTTCCGGGTGACTGTCCTGATGACATGACATGTCTCTATCTGCTGGTCACGCCTCCCTTGCTTATCAGGTGCTTCTCAGAAGACAGGGGGCATGGATGCACCCATGTATCCCTCCAATGTCTGTCACCTAGTAGGCCATCAAAAATACTGATGAGATGGAATGAAATGCTCCTATTCCCAACAACACTGGAGTGTGATAATGTAAGCATTCTCTTGGAGCTAAGGTACTCAGATGCGCTACAAACCCAGGTTTCCATGACAACCGAACAGCGAGACGAAGGCAAGTGCTGTGATGCTTGCCGTGCTTGTGAAGCTCTGGGTGGTCTGGTTTTCATTAGGTCCCTCTGTTTGCTCCAGTCCCTGTTCAGTGGGACCAGGAACGCTTCCCAAGGTGAATTTGCATATTGTTATTCTGCACATCTGTTGCTGCTTGTCTATATTTGCTGCAGCTGGATTTCCTCCAGCGTTGAGTAATGAGGGCATTAACCCAGGTGTCTCTTGAGGCCAGCTGAGTGAAGAGCTATGGGTCAGGTTCTCTCAGCACCATTTCAGGTGCCACCCCTGGAGCCCAGCCATGGAGTATGCAAATACAGTTCAGTGTAAATACAGAGTGGTAAGGTTTGCATTAATGCCTGCACCAGACTTTCTGGGAAAGAACCCCAGTAGGGGTACTTCTTGGCTTAAAAAAGGTAGATGAGCTCTCTCTGTGAAACCTGCTTTGGAAGGTAGCGCATTTGCAGGAAAATATTTTGTTCTATCCTTACTAACACCTTCCTCTTCTAATTTTGACACGCATGTATTTGGTCAGCTAAGTATTTAATTCAGTAAAACAATGATTTTCAGGGCAGCTCACTAAATGAATTTGAAATGGCCATAGGCACTCCTTTCATTTTTGCCAAACTGTTTCCCCAAATCATCTTTTTGCTATAAAATTATGAAATAGTTTCTCATTAAAATAAGGCAACTAGCTGGCCCCTTTGCAATTTTACTCAAACCTGATGGTCAGGTCTACGCCATCCTCTCTGGATGAGCTGGGCCAGGCCACATCAACACCCCAGTTGTTTCTGCCTCTTCCTCTCAGGGTGGTGAGGGTACAGCAGTCCTGTGTGTATCCTTCCACAGCTTGCCCCTCAGAGTCACATGCATAAAAGAGGTGGAAGCCCACTGTAAACCATAAGGTGTTATACTAAAACTGGTGAGACAGTTAAAGTTTATTGTGCCAACCTGGCCGGTAAACCCATGTGGGGTTAATTGAAGGGCGGAGAGATAAATGGCTCGGTGAGCCTCACCTTTTGAGTTCTCGGGTGTCATGTTTGTGATGGTCGGAACAGGGTGCAGCTGCCTTAGCCAGTTCCCTGCTTCAGTTGGCAAGGCTCACTTCCTGCTAGACATCCTCAAGGTGAAGCCACATTGGCCTACCCCGATGCAGCACCGGGTGCTGGAGCAGCCCTGTGGAGACTGCTGCTAGTGCTGAGATGCTTACACGTTCACTGATTCGGCTTTCCTCCTGCAGTCGGCGTCATAGTGTGTGTTTTGTGAGATGGAGGAGGACTTTGTGGATTGGTGTCGGACATATGGGTTAATGTTGGACTTATGAGTTTGGGCAGCACTGGGTTGGGATGTTTTCTTGATGTGCACTTACCCTTTATATAAAACTCTCTCTTATACATGAGTTTCTGTGGATTTGTTTCTGTAAAGTATTCAGACTAACACAACTGGTTTTTGAGGACATGTGATTTAGCTTGCCAAGGTACGGTTCCAGGGCATTGTTCTATTTTGTGCGGTGTGACAAGATGCCCGTCAGGTTGGGTCAGATCCACTTTTGTGAACAAACACTAACTGCTAATAGGATTAGTGACTTTTCCCTTTCCTTCCATCTCCCTGGGTTCATCTTGTTTACTTACTTATTTTAA